GCGGGCAGAGCCGAGGGAGGGGAGCCATCACACAGCGCTGTACGTCATATCCCGCTGACAGATACTGGATGCAGCAAAGAGACTATAAACCAAAAATAGTCCCTTTCTGCACACATGAAATAAATAGATCAGAAGGCGTACATGCACCTACATCTCCACATCCTGTGCTGTGCTGTGCACCACTGAGATGGATGGTGCACATGACTGCCCCTTCCAGTGCAGCGGGACCAGGATGGACGCGGCATTGCCGGTGCAGAGATCCTTGCCTTGGGAAAGCCTGGCCTGAGCGTACAAGCAGCTCCATAGCACATGCCCTAGATTGGTAGAGATCATCTCTTGGGCTACGCTACCACATGCATCTCTCATCTTCCACCACGTCCCAGGTGCTGTCCCCACCAGCTCAGACACCCCTTTATCCTAGAAGGTGTGGGTGATAAGTCTCATGTGATATTTTATAGCAGAACTGAGGAGGAAGTGTCTCCACTAGGTTTGTTGACATCTCACTGTCGCTTTGCAGGAATCTGATTTCTCCCCTGCTTCTTCTCCTCTTCTTTCTTAAGGGAAAACTGCATTTTTTTCCCAGCAAGGGAAAATGGAGACCACTCTGCATCTCCAGCCCTGAACGCTGAGGAGTTCAACTGAGGCAGCAGGCCTGCCACCCTTTAACTTGGGTTTTTCCCCATGCCCATGGCTCTTCATCTCCATGTGTTCCCAGCCCCGGTGGGGGCCAGGTTGTATCTAGGGGAGCAGCACTCAAAGAGTGGAAAATTGGGGATGAACTTGTGAAAAGGCTACGTGGCTGCTCAAATCGCTGGATCTGCTCTGAGGTCAAGGAACTGCTGCTTTTGCCAGCAAAAAGAACCCAGATGTTTTTCAATTTACACAGGCAAACTTGCCGAATGCAGGTTAGCAATACAAAACTCCATATTTGTGATGGTGAGGACCCCTGTTTCCAAGTCCCCAGCATAAAATATATGCTGCGGAACAGGAGGTCGGAGTGCTGAAGTGATTTAAGAGCCTTTACTCCGACTGAAGGATTTTGAAGGGGTCTTCGCGTTTGTTGGGTTTCTGGGTTCTAATATAAATGAGAGAATTAAATCATTATATTAAAACATCAAAACACTAATGCTTTGTTTTCATTGGCAAGAACCAAAATGATCTAACTCAAAAGCCATGAAATATCAGCCTTTTTTTGCTGATGAATAATAAGATCTCTGGCTGCTTGTGATAGTAAATTTAATAATGTCAGTGATTTGAAAGGGCTGAATCCTAAACGTGAAGAAATGTGTTTTTACCCCCTCCACCCGCTGCCTTTTTCTCCCTCCTCTACTACTGTCAGGAAGTTTTGTGGCAAATAAGCCAAGATCCACAGATTAGAGCACATCGGTCTCGTATGCCAGGTGAGTGCCAAACTCTGAATACCCAGTGCAAACCTCCCTCTCCCAGGTGGTCTGAATTTGCTTATAGCTGGGTCCTGTAAGCAGATTTAATATTTCATAAGCACTGCTCCATCTCATGCCTATATTATTGACACCACATGGAAGTCAGGAAATTGGTTCTTTCTGGGAACAGTTTGCAGAAATATGCAGCCTGTCAGCTCCTTTCTCATGGGGTGCATTAACAGAGGGGCTCGCAATTACAAGTAATGAACCTTCTCCAGATGTCTGCAGTGACTCAGCTCCAACTTTATCTTCGACGTATGAGATGGACTTGACAAGACGGATTATTTGTGGATATAATATAATAACTTCACAGAACGTGGAATTCCCAATTATTGCAAGAGAGGCTAAGTATTCAGTAGGAGAGGAACGCCAAGGTTTATCCACTGGATAAACAACAACAGCCGAGAAGGAAATAAGCTGTGCCATTTCCCCCTCTTGAAACTACAAATGTCCCCATGCTGTTTTAATTCTTCCTCTTTATGATACCGTTTATGTTACACACATTAAAGTTAAGTCAAGTCTTTAATAAGATGGAAACTGGAAGCGAGATTTTGAAGGAAAAGAAGCTCAGCATCCTAAATTTACTCTGCGCTTGGAGAGCACAGAAAAACAACAGAAAGGATGGGATATACCAAAGAAAGCAATTTTAATTGTCATCTTCCATGGAAAATTGAGTCGAGTCATTCCCCACTGCTGTGAGTGCCAACGTACTGTGCTATATATGGCTGGGTGCTTATTTTAGCAATTCGGCTGTACCAAAAAAGTGTAACCAAAGTGAAATTTCTTGAGTAAAGTTCTAGCTGCAAATGATGCATAGGGCTTCTTGGGTTATAAATTTTAAACGGGGTATTTCAAGGCCCGCATTAAATAATTGGGACAAATCTGTTTTATTTGGGTTTGATTAAGAGCGATAATTTCATGCTAATGCCCTCCGAAGGCATTCTTGTCAGGCGTGGATAAATGGACTTTGAATTATCTTTCTTCTAAATCACACGTCTCCTGGTACCCAAGTTGTAAGACTGGGGTCTCCTTGGGGAAGTATTTGTATATCTTCTTGGGCTGAGCTGCAGGTTTGTTTGATGTGGATCTTCAAGATAAAATTACTGTGCTCCAGATGTTACAGTTTAAATGTTTGTACATAGGGATTTCCTTGGTTGTTGAAGAGAGGAGACTCAAAACAGACTCGATCATTCATGCATCTATTTCCAGCACATGCCTTGCTATGTTTGAGGAGGTGAATGTCAAGAGGAGCTTTTATAAACAGGCCTTGCTTTCTCAGAGCACAGTTTGTTTACCGGCTAACATGCGGAGCGGGCTTCTTCAATGCTAACAGCAAATTGTTGATTTAAACTATCACGCCCCTTCCATCAGCTCCAAAAAAATCTTTCTTTCTAGCTGGGAGGAGAAAATGAAGGGAGACATGCTGCTCGGCAGATACCTGTTACCCTGGCAAGGATGAGATGTGCACGCTGAAGGCTGCCTGCAGCCCGTGCCGGCTGCCACCACGCGATGGCTTCTTCCAGGCGTGGGAAAGGCTGGGCTCCAAGCACTGCCGGCCCCTGCCCTCGCTTGTGTTGGCCTGAAAAAATCTTGCTCCCTTCCCCACGGCAGTAGTTCCTTTGCTCCCCCTTCGGTCTCTGTGTCCTCCCTCCCCACCCCGTGGCTCTAGTGCACCCGTCTCCTGCTTTCGGGGTGCTAGGGGGACTGGGATGCAAACAAGTGCAGCTGCATATTAACAGATTTGCTGCTTGCAACCTCTGCCTTATGTCGGTCTCGGCATTGCAAAACGAAACACAGCTGGGTCACCGAACTTAAAAATGCCAAACGTTGTCCCATCAGCCAGCTGACAGGAGGGAAAGACAGACATTA